GCAGTGTTGCCGCTGGCTATTTCCAAATCTAACTGTTAACTTGAAAAGTTGAACGTACTTGCAGCATGCAACATGCAACGGCGGCTGCACCCACGGCACAACAGCACCGCAGTACAACCGCAGCGCCGTTCGACAAAACGAGTTGAAAGCCGTTTTCCCTGTTAGCCAAGCTAAGAAGCCGCAGCAACAGCAGCTACAACGGCAGCAGCTCTTGAAAGTGGTTTCTTGTCTAACTGCGTTAGTTTTGCTTTAAATTGTGCGGCCGAGCAGGGACCAATTGACTGCACTACCCGGTAACTCCGCCATGCTGTAACTACCGAGCTAATGGCTCTACTGTGAGCATCGGTAAGAGTTCTCAGTTAAATGTCATAGCGGCGGATGCTAAGAGCATTTATCATTAATCACAAACCCAAACAGATGTCAATATGACCAATACGGAAACTGCATTGCACATAGCGGATACCGGCACTGACACCGGTACCGCTGATGCAGACGATGCTGACACAACAGCCAACGGACATGGCCACAGTTGTCGACCAGGTGGCCATTTCCGCTTGGCCTTAGTTAAGTTCCTTATTTTGACACTGCCCTCGCAACTGCAATTATTGTTGTTTAGTTGTTCTTTTTGTTCTTGTTCTTGTTGTTGTTGTTTCTGTTCTTGTTGTTACACTGATTTATGAGTTTTTAATGAATGGCAAGCTTACAACAATTGTTGTTAACAACACTCGACTGTCGACTGCAATGTAATGCCACAAAGTAGCTGCTCTCAACCAGTCACTGGTCAGGAGTAAATAGTCTACTCATACTCTTACCCGCACCCTGACATTTAAGCCGTGCGAAACGTCTACTTCACGATGAAGACGCGCAAATGATCCGCCAATGGGCGTCGGAATGCGAATGGGCACTCTTTCGCATATTTTGAGCATATTAGCTGAGTCATCGAGGCAGTGTTATTTGTATGGAGTTAAGGAGAGAGTTTTACAAATGTTCCCGCTAAAAAATTGTTAGTCGATGTTCGCCTTAAATCCTATATAAAATTTCTATGTTGAATGCATTAAGATAACAAAATTAAATTTAGCTTTGCAAATTAAAGATTTGGTGTTACTCTACGGAGGTTTCTATGATGGGCCTAAAAAGCGATTTCTGTGCTTGATAGACTCCATGCCACAAAATTAATTTAAAAGACTACTGTTGTAAGTTTCCCAAATCTGGGATCAGTTTAAAGAAGATCAGTTAAAGATAGATTCATAAGCAAAATACTTCGGGACCCGATCGTTGGTCTTTAAATGAAAATCTTTCTCATATGAATAATAATTTGGATAGTAGCAGCTAGCTTAAAATCAGATTTAAGTGCATTCAATATTCGTATTACAATTATATACATTCTCTTACTCTCCTCTCTTACTCTCCCTCTCTATCCCGTTCACATTCTACCTGGGTTTTGTAGTCGTTTTGTGTGATTGATTATACATTTTCGTATGAACTGGTTGCAAGTTGCAACTTGTTGCTATTGCTGCAGTTTGGTGGCATGCGGGCAGGAAAGAGACGATGATTCCAATGAAGCAATGAGTTACAACCTGTAGCTTCTGAAGACAAGCCGGCGGCGGTGGCCGCTTGGCTTGTGAGGCGGGCAGGGCGGCCAGCGCAAAGTGCTGTCTGCTGCATTGTCAGTGACCTTCAGCAGTTGGCGGCAGTCAACCTGTAATTAGACAAACTGCTCAAGCCGAAGCTGCAGGATACGATTAGCTGCCAGGCGCCTGAACGCCACACAAGATTTATTTGCCATAAGGGGCACATAATATGACTGTGCGCCCAAGCCCAACAGTTTGACATTAAAAAATCGTATTTAATTGATCAACCTACTAGGTGGACGTAGCCTGCTGAGGAAATCGATGGCATCTATGCAAGATTTACGATTGCAAATGCAGAATGAGGGTGTAAAAGCCTACAACTTAAAAATTAATCAAGCTGCAATAATATTAATAAACAAATGACATGGAAATACTAATTGCTAGCAGCAACAACAACGGTTAAATGAGTTCAAATGCAACAAAAAATAAAAATTGTAAAACGCGTCAGCATCCGGTTGAGCAATTGATTCTTTATGGGTGTGTTGTGCACAGTGGCATGTACGTGGCTTAGTAGCAGTAAAAAGCCTTAGCAACACATAATTATTGATAGCCGCTTAAACTGCACAAAATGTTTGCCTTCGAAAATATATTTTCAAGCTATCAGCATTTATTTATAATAAAGATGCGATCAGCACGGTGTGTATATGTATATAAGGGCGTGTGTTTGTGTATTTTTTTCGGACGAACGGGCAAAAATGTGTCACTCGCTTCTTTGACTTTGATTTAGTGGCTAGACAGGTTAATACAATATGAGATCATCGCAGGCGACGCTCTCGATGACGACGACAACGCCGTAGAGAAGCGGGCTTGCTTGAGGGGTGTGCATGGGTCAAACAGAAAAAAAAGCAACGGCTTGTGATATTTTTTTGTTTTTGACATGCCTTTAGCTCAACTGGCAGCGGCCTTCGTTCAGAATTTTGACATTGTACAAATATTTTGATTTGGAGCTCTAAAAATACATGGGAAATGAACAATGAAATTGCCGTTATTTGAATAAATGCTAAAAATGAATGATAATTAAAAATTGGCTATTTTTCGAGAAAAATAAACAAGTTTTGAAAGCTGTTTCTATTCGAATGATTGGGAACATGTGAATATTCAAGAAATGCTTAGGGTATTGGCTAAAAATAATGATTTCAACTATACAGATCAAGAAAACATCTTACACAGATGTTTTTGAGCTTTTAATTTAACTTAAAGTGAATAAGTAAACAAATTCTAGCACTTTATTCTGCGCTCAAATTCAATTGAGTTCTTCCAAGTTATTCGGAGGGCTTGAGTACATAGCGCTTTGTATTTGTTCAGCGTTGCTAGATCTTCAATCAGCCCTAACAAGCAACAGCAGCAATAATAATAACATCCACAACAACATGAAGAACATTCACATTTATCACGCACATTTATCAGCTTGTCAGCCGGAAGGGTGCTGCTAATCCCCAGATGGGGCACCCATCCCAATCAGTGCCCAACCCAAGTAACCAACCAAATTACGCTCATTTCGTGGCAACATAAATTTATCAGGCAACGCAACAAAACAGAAACTATATTTGCAACTTTAATGCGAGTGCACATAAAATGGAAGCAAAGAGATCGAGAAATTCTAACGTACTCCGCATGGTTCCTGCTTTAATTAAGTGATCATGAACATGACCAACACACAAAAGCGCTCAAGGGCCCAACGTAAGCGACCAAACAAGATTAGCCAAAAAGGAGATGGCCTTCAGCCGGGCAGAGACTAGACTCCGCAATGAAAGAATCTAGGCATTAAACGTTGTTAGAAGAGAGCGATATATTGGCTGTAGGATGGTTTGCAGTTTGTATGCCCTGCACTTCTTACAATAGTCAACAAGGGACCCATGAAACATATTTCAAATCAACAGATCTGTAAATTTCTTAAGGAGCAGAGAGTAAATACATAACTAATTAGAAAGGAAATAATCTCAACTAATTCAGTTTGAAAGTCGTGCATATAAAATGGTACTTGAAGGTTGTTCTATTCTACAGGGTAACTTGTAGTTCGTATCGCCTAGATGAAGCTGACTTACACAACGTCCTTTTCTCTGGCAATCTTGCAAAGCGCATGTAATTTAGCTTAGAGTGTGTATTTTATTTAAGCGTTTATTAGCTGATAAACCGAAATAGATAAATCTTAGGACTAGGCAGGGCCACAACTAGGGCCAGATTCGAGGCTCACTCACAGACACAGGCGAAAAGCTGGCAAAGGAGCATCCATTTTTTACTGCCTGTTGCATGAGCCCGTTGAATTTTTAATTGTGTGCCTGGGGCGCAATTTATATATGTTTTTACAGAAATCACGCAGATAATGGCAAATAATATTAACATATGCACACGTTAACTTCATACCAAATTAAGAAACTTGTTTGTTAACACCCAGACGAAAGAATAACTGACTGCATGCCCTCAAACCTCAACACGACCCGAGTCCATTTGCAGATCTATGTTCATATTATTAGAAGGTTTTCTTTTTTTTCTTAATTATTGCCGCGTGTAAATTCTATCAAACGTAATACTGCCCGGGCCCGGCTTAACTTCCGGTACCAGCTGTTGATTACGTCATAATTATGCGGCCACCTACCTGACGATCCGACTTTGCGACGGTCTGAGTGCCATATAAAGATGCTATCAATTTTCACACAAAATTATTACATTTTCCCGCCGCGTAGCGACAATTTTGTATTGCGTTACGACTATTCTACCCAATTAACAGGCCTTGCCTTGCCCATTTTCTGTATGCCCGCTCCCGACCAAAAGTTTATGAAAATCATATGAAGCAGCTGAAAACTGAAAGTGGAAAATGAATGCGTGAGAAAACCAACAGCAACAACAACAATTCCTAATGGCCTCTTCACATATTTCTACACAGTGTTTTTTTTTTTTTTTTGCCAGAGGTGTTTTTTTTTTCTCTACCTTTCTGTAATTTTTATGCTGGTCTGTGTTTGCAGTGCCGTTGTATACATTTTTCAGAGAAAATACTGAAAGGAAAGATAAACGCAAACGTTGCTCATGTTTGCGCATAAATTTCAAGTGTCATTTACCCGTCTTCGCACTTGCCACAATTTTTGTAAGTGTATTTTTATTTGTCTTTTGTCTTTCGTTTCGCTTTTTTGCTTTTTGGCACCTGTCCCTGATGACCAGGCCAATTTTTGCAGGGCTCTTGAGCTGCGTGTTTGAAATTTTAAGTTAATTATTTGTGTTTGTTTTCGTTGCGCTCTTAAGCAGGAAATCGCATTACAATATTTAAGTACACTGATTCCTCAACTCCCGCACATTATGTTTGCTTAACTTGCCTTTAATTGTGTTTTTAAAGATTTTTAATGTGTTTTATTGTTTATTTTTGTATCATTTCAGCAAAAATGAAAATATTTTTGCCACTAGTCACGTGGATAGTGCTACTACTCTCGAGTACAGTAAGTATCTAAATCAAAAATACAACTAATCAATTACTTACTAATCCCATAAGTTGCGTTCACAAAGACGGTACTGATCCGGGATCAAAGGCAACACAAGTCAAGTTCTAATCATAAATATAAATAGAATGATAATAAATGAATGAGCTCGGATTGCCACTAGTTGCTTGAGTTGACAGTTAGCACATGAATAATAATTAATTCAAGAGTATGTCCAGAGCACCTTTCAAACATCACACAATGCCCGTGAATCTTGACAAACTTTACGAGCTGCCAACTCATTATTAAACAAATTTGTATACAAATTCTTAAAAAAAAAACGAGGGGAATATATTTTAATGAAAAATGATCTCAGCTATCGGAGTGTAAAAGAACCAAATGCTCATATAACTAATGATGCAACCCAGCAACGGCAAAAGCAAAGGCAAAGTTTTTTTATGGTGTAACGGTATCTGCCCGGTCATGCAAATGAGCCATTAAAGAAATTACAACCAAAGAGTTTCTTAGTCTGCTGTTTGGGCAAAAGTAAATATATAGAATATTAACAACGAGCTGTGAAATTAAAGAAAAAATGACGAGCCGCGAAGGGAAACAACATTTCAAGATCTGATTTGATGCAAAGCAAATAATAATTTGGCAGCCCAGACAACAATTATACTAACAGAATTTGATACTTGATTTAATGGTTCTTTAAAATGAGAAAGCATGGCTGTCTGGGTAGATGGGGCAAACGAAATGATGAGCAAGTGAAGAGACGTACATTTCTAGAAATGGAGCGAATTTTGGATGCTCTTTAAGTAATCATCTTTAGGTTTTCAGGCAAAGTTCATCAAAAGCGCTTTACAATCTAAAAATCAAGCTTAATGTAGCCTTTCACATGACCAAACGGTCAGTAGCTGAATGAAACACAGAAATGACTAAGGCAGAAGACTTGAACCCAAAATCAATAGAAGAAGAAAGCCAAAAACGTAATGAATAAAAATAGCCGCATTAACTGTAAAAATGCTTTGATAGTCATCGATTTATGCAGTGGTCAGGAAAGACAGACAGTGAGAGGTAGAGGAAGAGGAAGAGACGAATACGAACCGGAGCTTTATAAATTGGCCAAAAGAATGCTCTAAGCCGTAAGCTAAGCCACAAGTTCATTGACATTCAACGGCGCACGCATTTGGTTGGCTTTTTTGCGACACTCTCTCAATGGAGGGAACTTTTTTGGTTTGCTTTTGGCTTTGCTTTCTATTTGTGCGTTGTGACTACATGATTTATTTGTGCGAACAAGCTGAGCTTTAAATTTATTGATTAGCTGATGGCAAAACAAATGACTTAGGCGACAAGCTAGATTGTTGACTTGGTGTTACAGAAAATGAGCAAGTGCGCACAACTAAATGCCCATCGACAGTTAGCCCATTATAACGGATGCACTTGAGCGCTGACGGGTGCTGTTATTGTCTCTGTTAACTTGGCTAACAACTTGCCAACGTAAAATTGCATTGTATGCCGCAATCAACTCGACTCGACGCGCCGCTCAATGTCATGGAAGTTTCGCTGCGGCGGCGACGTCGGCGGCAACATCATCTTCACTGCGATTCACTCACACATTTAATTGTTGCATGTGATGATGCGACTACTGCGGCTGCTGCTACTAATGCTGCTGCACTTGAGTGCATGCGCTGCTCATTGTGCGGCCTTTCAATTGATAAAAGTCACAGGCGGCGGGCGGCTGCTGGTTGTTAGCTACTGGCTGCTTGATGTGCTGGCTGCTGATAGCTGCATCTATTGTTTTGCAAGGCCGCTAGCGTTGCATGGCGTGAAGCGAGTGCAAAGCAAAGCCAATTGAAAAACTCTCAACACACAGTATACGTACACAGAACTTCCACACACAAGTGAGCTGGGTAATGTTTTTTATTTTTTTTGCATTGATAAAAATCTACCTAAAACAATTCTCAGACTTAACTTGAACTTGACAGCAGCGAGTGCTTCATGCTCACACCTTTAGTTTTTATTGCACTCTTTACTGGCTGCTGCTCATTAGCCAACTGGAAAGGTGCCAATGTGGCTCACGTGTCTGAGATAGAAATGGAAGCACCACAAATTCGCCTCTAATTGGTTTGATTAGCAGTTACCCGAGCTTAAGCTAGAACTGAGATTGCTTTCCAGTTGTGCCATAAAACTTTTTACGGTCCAATTGTGTTAAACAGATTTACAGGCAAACAAGAAATAAAAAGTTCTGCTGGCATCTCAAACAGTCCAAATCAAAGATGTATCCGAGTTTGATTTAAATCTTATTTTACTTTCTTATCAAAAAATTATTCACTATATTTGGATTAAATAGAACAAAGTCACTTCTTGAATCTTTTGTATTCAAAGACGATTTTAGTTATGTAAATCATCATTAGCAAAGTTCAAGTTAGTAGCCTTAGTCATTTGTTAAACAAATATGAGATATGACTGGAGGCAGCCATTGACCTTTACCCTGCTTTCATAGGCAAATCACATATGAACAAAGAGATTTCTTATTGGCTTTTATAATCCCCAACTTGCTTTTATGGTAATCCAAAGAGGAACCACAAGCCAGAAATCGGAGCAGGAACTCAAAATCAACAAATGCATTGGTATACTGTATTTATAGGAATGGAACGTCGAAACGTAGGAAGTAAAAATTGGTCGGGTAGCAAGTACGAAACACGAAAAAAAAATCGAAATATAAATTCAACAATATGCTATCCAAATGAAACTAGTTTTAATTCGTTTTGCAGTAGCGCAAAAAGGTCTTAAGTGACAAACTCGTTTTTATAGTCATCTAATGTTGAACGCTGGTAATAGTAACAGCCCGTACCGTCAGTCACTCAGTCACTCAGGCACCACATACATACACATGTAAAAACACATACAAGCTTACTGAGAAAATATGGCAAACAACTTTTGTTTTTGTCTGTTTATAAAAGTAAAATCAGCCAAGTGTAACAATTAAGCGTTGGCAAAACAACAGCAACACAAGACGATAAATGTATCTACGTAAATACCACTACCACTACTACCATGAATGCGAACCAGTATGAAAAGGCTGCCCATATGGACCGCGTAGAGCTGCGGCTGTCGGTTAAGAAATCTTGTTGAAGAAGCGCTGACGTTGATACGCCTGCTAGCTTTACTGTATCTAATTTGAATTTAAATTAGTTTCAAGTCTAACCAAAAGCACCAAATACTAACGAAACTTGGTAAATACAGTGAAGGTTGCTGCCATTTCAGAAATGAGGTTAAGCTTCCTGGAGAATGCTATTCCCATTTTGACAAATCAAAGCTGCAGGCCAGGAACACATATGAGTTTATATACATAAGTTATAAGTCAGGGTAAATCAAGCTTGAAATGTTTTCGAAATATGTTGAAACTATCAGCATAATAACAGACTATGGCAATTTTTAAAACAGGAAACGATTTAAAATTTGAGAAATCTAATCTAAAGACAGTTGTGTAGTAAGTTTAAGTACACAGCTAAACACAGATTAGAATCCGACCCAAACGATTTTTACATTTAAATCACTAATCAAATTCACGTTTCATTTTACAGGTACATTCACAACACCAACAACTACAACCCTTTAAAACAAATCCAAACAAACATAGTCGATTTCGAGGCGAAGTGTTCTTTCTGAATCTCGAGGATGGCTATTTTGGCTGCCAAGTTAATGAGTCTACGGACTATTTGCAACTATACGACCTATCGAAAATATGCGACGGCAAACAAGACTGTTTTCTTGGTTCCGATGAGCTGAGCAAAGAGCTTAAATGCACAAGTAAGTTACCTCTGCCACTCGCCACACCCACATCCATTCGACCTCTCTCTATTGAATGGGTTTTGGTTAATGTTAAATTGATTTTAATTTTGCAGATGACTGTGATAAGGATGGCACACAGTGCACAAATGGTGTTTGCCTGAATGGTGTTTGCCATTGCAATGACGGCTTTGGCGGCTGCAATTGCGTCGATCAGGGTAAGTCCAACTAAGCGGCAAACAATGTGGGCTTGGCTCATCTTAAATAACCGTTAAAACTTTACTCTGCTTTACAGATGAGAACGAATGCAAGCAGCGTCCATGCGATGTGTTTGCCCATTGCACAAACACATTGGGCAGCTTTACGTGTACCTGCTTTCCGGGCTATCGCGGCAATGGCTTCCAATGTGAAGGTAAGTGCCAGTCAGCCATGTTGTTCGCATAAGTTCATAATGAACGACCGGGCGACCAGCCAACAGCCAGCAACAACAACAACAGTACAACTGATTGTTGTTGTTGCTGTTTTGTACTTCCGTCAACGTCTGTTATATTATTTGTTAGCCTGGTTAACCGCCACTCTGCCAGCTAGACCATGATTTAGTCTAGGTTACCCATAGATCTTAACGCTAACGGTTCATTTCGCTGGAAATCTCGAGAGTCAAGTCATTTCAATCGTCTCAAGTGCCCAGCCTCTAGTTGAAAATGTAACAAAAGACGCGCCGTCCAACAGCAACAACAATATGAAAGCTTTTCACTCAGCTCACAATAGCCCAGCAATGGGATCTCCCCTGTATACTTATCCAGCGAGGTAATAATAATGACCATGTAGCGATTACACTTGAGTACCTTATAGCGTCTTTTGTTATAAGTCTGTTTTTTGTTAGAGCTGCGATCTTAGAAATACACCAGAATGATGCGGGGAGGGCCTGTTGAGCTGGGAACGCAACACAGACAAAGCAATTTAAATAAGAATTATATAATTCAAGACATAGTTAAATCCTTTCTAATATTCCAATTGAATTCGCATACAAGTGAATTCTTAGTGTCATTTAAGCGTTAAGTTAAGCCTTTAGCTTGAAAAACGCTCACTTCAACTAATCTCATTTCCAACGAATGCTATTCAAAGCTTTTACAAATGTTTCTAAGTTCACAGTTCCTTTTTCGCACATTTGAACACTCAGTGTAGTCTCCTGCACTTCAGAGTGTTATATTTTTACTTCGAGGTCTTGGGTTAATGAGCCTTTTCCATCTGTGCCTGTTCACAGCGTGGGCCCAGAACAAAAACAAAAAAAACATTCAGCGCACCTGTTCAGCTGTCTATTCGACAGTGAAAAACTGGCAGCCGTAATTGGACTGGGCGTAATGTTGCGTAATGAAAAAGCATTATGGCACCACGTAGAAAACTGACTACGAAAAAATCAAAAACATGAAACTATAATAGTAATAACTAGAAAAGCAGAAGATTCATTCCAATGCACCACTTACAGATTGCCAGCATGGAACTTCCTTTAGCTGCTCATGTTGATGATGATGATTATAATGATGGTGGTTTTGGTGGTGGTCGGCAGCTAGAAATAAAATAAAAAAACCACAACATTTGTAGCAATGCTTTCGCGCCATGGAACAGAAATAGACATAATCGTACTTACGAGCACACACGTCTGTTAGACGAGGAATCAGTGTCATGTAATCTGACCCCAAACATGGACACGCCAGAACTTTCAACACTCAAGAGCATGTGTCTATGTGGATGTGGATGTGGCTGTAGCTCTTACTCTGATTCTGGCTGTGGATGTGGATGTGGCTGTGCCCGCTTCCCGCTTCAGTCCGATGCAATGCGATAACGAGCGCAAATTTCACAAACGTTCTGGCATTACCCCACTAAGTATGAAGACGTTGCCGAGATTCTACATTACATTGTGACGACTTCTCGCAACGACTGCCGACTTCGGGGCGGGGCATGCTAGAGCGGGGGTGGAGTCACAGTAACTGCAACTGAGTGGCAGGCAGGCATGCATAAATTCTGGGCAGTGGCATGTAACGCCAGCATCGCATTTCAATCATACGAGAATTATCTAATTCCTTTTCGCCATGCCCCACGTTTCTCCTATCTCTCGCTGTTTCTCGCTGTCTCTCTCTCGCTCGCTCCCTCTCTCTTGCATATTACGCGTGTTTATGATGCATTTCATTCCACAAAACACAACTCAAGAGTTGTCGGCATTCAATGGAATCAACCTGCTTTAAACACGCTGAGAAAGTTTCGCCTACCCATGTGCGTGGCATAAGTACTTAAGCCCCACTAGTTGAAAACTGCTAGCACACACTGTCATGACTTTCCCACCGACTGCACTAAATATAATCCACCATAGATAATTAAATCGTAAGAGACCAGTAAATTACTTTAAACCTTCCGCAACCACCGCCAGAGGCAAGTACAATCGCGTATGAAGTTGACGACTTTGGCCAACACTTCCATCACTTTCGCAGACGTAATCCGATTGACATTAAAACATTTTTAAAAATATCGAAACAATATTTATTTTAGCTTGAGCCATTGGACAGATTCGAAAACATAAATTAAATTAATTTTAATTGATTCTTTTTTCTTCATATTTATATTCTAAGATACTTGTAATCATATTTTGGAGAGAGAGAGAAGGAGAGAAAAACAAGAAACAAATGTCTGTTGTTGTCAATATACTCGTATATATCCAGTTTACATTGCTTTCTCAAGTTCACCCAATAAACTTTGCTACAAATCATGGCCTAGCCTGGAGTTGGACTTGGCCGGGCCAGTTCCCCTTCTCTAAAGAGCGACACATTTTGCGTGGAGGGAGATCATACCTGTTTTGGCTGCCAGGCTGCCTAACGGTATGAAGTGGGACTGCCACTTGTTGCAGACCTGGTGGCGCATTCGCACTATTTCATGTTCATAACTCAGATGCGTACATTTGGCGATGTCTTCGTTAAAAAATCGCCAAAGTCCAGTTATGCAATGAAGACTGTAGAGTGGTAAGACAAAATTGCAGCACACAAACCCCAGTCGTTAGTCAGTTGGTTTGTGGCAAGTCAATAGCTGTTTCTAATGCATTTGTCTTGCAACGCGCCGAGCAGAAAAATGGAGTGAGTGCATCGAGTTGAGTGCTAAATTTATAACCATTTTTGCGGCACTCAAGAGACAGCAACACAGCACGAAATAATCTTAAAAGTTATTGCAGCTGCTGTTGTTATTGTTATTTTAGTTTGTTTTACCACGTTCACCAGGCGGCTCCCTTTCGTTTCGCTAACTGGGGCAGATCATTAAAACGGATAAAATAGATTGTGGCCCACGTAGCGCAGCTTTTGACGGCATTGGCAACGCATGAGGTGCTGGTATTGTCGGCGCTTAACGCTCTGTCCTCAAAAGCCGCAAACGGCACTGCCTTCAACTCCAACACCAGCAACAGTCAGCGGCAACAGCTACCAGCTCTCAGCTCTCAGTTCGCAGCTCCCAGCTCCCAGTTCAAACTCTCAGCTAAAATCCACAAACCAGTTCGACGCACAGTTTCTGATCAACGTCAGCTGATAAGCTTCGCTAGCTTTTGTGGAGCGAACGTGATTAATCTGCAGCACAGACCTACATTATCGTATACACATATATATATATATATATATATATTTATATTCTTAAGGTACTTTGCACATTTTGCTTATCAAAATGGCAGCAATTGATTGCCTTGTCGTAGCTGTAGGTGATAAACCAAATGGCTTTAAGCGTTGGCATTGACACGCCTAATTATACGCACAATACCCCATCGCCTCCAAAACTTCCCTCGCAATCTGCTCTGGATGTTGCCACATTTATGCAGTGAGTAGGTCGGTTTTGTCAATTGAGCCACCCATGACTAAAACTTCGACATCGGCTGACATCACTTGACTGACTAAGTGCCTGACTGTCAGCCTGGCGGCCTTGATCTTTTTGCCTCATATATATGGAAATCTTTAACGCCAAATTGCGGCACAAATTTGTTAGCTAATTTCATTTTTCCTTGGCGTTTTTTTTTTGTTTTGCTCCATTTATATGTGTATTTTATACCCTTTGCAGAAATATAAATGGTAGTTAAGTTGTATTAGCGGTTAGATGAAAGCATCTGTTTATCAGATTTGTGAATATAGCGATTATGGAATGAAGGCATCACAAAATTTCGTCGTTATTTTTTTACCACTATTTTGTACATTTTGATAACTGTTGCGTAGCAATCACAAAAGTGTTTTTGGTCTCACAAATTTTCGATACAGGGTAGCTCCAAGTTGGCAATTCGCAGCGAAAATAATTTTACTTGTTTCTTACTCGTTTTGGTTTGTCTCGAGTTCAAGTTCAAATTTTTGTTAGTTATACTTACCATAAATTTGCCGAATAGACATTTAATTTTATGTCTCTGTGTGTTTTCTGTAGAGAGCTGCCCATCATCATACATCAGTCGAGCATGAAAGTCATGTCCGCTCATAAATTGCTGCCTTTCTATAAGCGAATTCACATATTCGAGTGTGCGGCTACCTGTTCAAATAGTGCACAAATTTTTCGTCACGAATGTCATAACTTAAATAAAAAGCAACAGCACAATGAAAATGCTAATTAGCACAAAAATTACACATATTTATTAGATGGACACCAGATAGACCAGTCGAGTCAGGAGCTATGTAAATTTTTGTTTAGCTTTTTATGTGCATACAATATTCATACAATCGCAACTGCTAATTAGCTTTGATTAGTGCAGTTAAACAAAGCGCAGAATGTCTTCCAAAACCAACCAAACTTGAATGTTTTTTAATACACATGTTTGTGATGTCGAATACTTAATACACTTATCACAATAACATAAAGACCACACCAAATGTGAGCATAGTTAAGTATATATAAAATGTTTCTAGTATATTTAAATCACTGAATCTGGTAGTGATTAAAACGGAAAGTAATATCTGAATTCATCAAGTGCCACTTAGAACAAATGTTTTTCTAATCATGCCTTAGGTCCCGAGGCAACCGGAAATCTGAATAGAGTATGACGGAGAATACGATAGAATTAAGTCAGCATAATTTTCAACATGCATTCAACTAAATTGCATTTAGTCACGCATGTTTGCTTTTTAGGCAGGCAAAGAGCTAAAACTTATGGCCCAAGGCTGCCACACCCCCACATCATTTGAAATAGGACTTTGCCACAAAAATTTCAGTAAGTCTTAATTATAATTGGCGGCTGAGGCACAAATAAATTAAATTTTTCACCTGACATCAGAGAAACTTTATAATATGATAGGAGTGGGACTTGGACTGGGACTGGGATTGGGACTAGGACAGGCTTTATTCCTGCACGAAGTTCTGTCTCAGTCTGCCGTAACCGCATTGCATAAAGTAATTAAACTGACATTGAAACTTAGAACATAGAATGCTTCCTGCTTCTGTCTAAACTTCTGTCCAATGCTACCAACTGGCAACTTGCAACTTACAAACTGCCAACTGCCAAGTGGCAGACAGGTGAAGAGTTAGCAATTGCAAGCGTTACGTTGCATCACATGGAATGCAGCAGAATGCAGTATCAGTTGTTTGTTGAAAGAGGTTTGGCGGGTGGGGGTGTGTATGGGGTATACCAGTTTGAGAGTGATGATCTTCTTAATTTATAAGCTAAAAACTAGTAATTATAACTGCGCAACTCGCTCGACTGCTTATAATTATAAGGTAATCACACACACACACACACATCTTCCTCTCTGTTCACGTCCTTGTCTTTGGCTTTTGCCCACTTTTGTACTTATGTCATATTAGCTATAAATGTACAACATCTCTTATGCATAAGAACCATGATTAATGGCCAACAGATTGCCGAAGAGAACGTCCATCGCTGTATCTGTATCTGTTTCTATATGTGGCCCTTAGACTGGCATCTTTTACTAGTTGCCGCTTCACTGGCTACGCGAGAATTCAATTGAATTCTCAATGTGCTGCCGGCCTATTGGAGCGGAAAGCTCCATGTAGTGCTTCCGCATGAGATGACTATAGAGATACTACGTCGATCTGAAAACAACATCAGCAAACAATAAAGATTCTCAATTGAGTTAGAAACACCACAAAATATAAAAACAAAAAATGATTCTTATAATGGATTAAAGTTTTATGTGAGCAAACACTTACATACATAATTAAGGTTCCTTCTTGATGTTATTTGAATGTTAATTTACGCATTGATATAACGAATTCGAATAATTCTTGGAATAGAGGTTTTCAAAGATCGTCCAATTGTCAATTGCACATTTTTTTTAGACAAGGATGTTAATCAGCGCTGCAAATAATCGATGACAAAAATCGAAAGATCGACTAGAAAAAAGGCAAACATAAGTGCAAAAAAATACTAGAATCATTATTAATAGGTTGAATTTTAAAATTATTCTCTGGGTTGTTGGTATGGAAACTAATACTTTATTAATGATTTGGTTGTCAAAATATCAGCCGCTGTCACTTAGTAATTTTCTTGTGCCAATGATATTTAAATAATTTTCAGCAGCTTGTATGTATTGCAGCAGAATTATATTGATTAACCTTATCGGGAGCGCTGAAATTGTTGAAAAATAATAGATATATCGTTACGATAAATTATATTTAATCATTAAACTATCGACTACTTGATAATGTTGTACAAAGCACAGGTGAAAAATGAAATGTTGCACTGTAAATTAATACAACTTTTTATCTGAGTGGCTTATTGTCAATAGCCATGATCTATAGAACTGCTGACTGAATATCTAATTGGCTTGGTAAATATATGCAACTGGTGCATCCTGTGCGCATTGATATTGCTGCTTGGCTTGGCTCTCCATATGTGCATATGTATGTACATATATAAATTAATGTGCATACATAAATATACACATGTGGATGACACTGAAATGCCATGCGTAACATGCAAATTTCAAATGGCAAAATCACCTGATGGTGAATCGGCCAGTTGAGCCACCATAGCCAACATAGTCACATGCGATGCGCACTCAAGCGTGTAAAATGCGTAAAGAGCGACCGCTGAACAACCGTCAAGTTCATAGCCTAAGCCTTTGATAGTTGGGAGTCTCAGATTTGAGTTGCGTCTCATTTGTGTTCAAGCACATTCGATTAATCAAGCGTTATCTTCTTGCAGACATTGACGAATGTCAAGATCCAGCGATAGCGTCGCGCTGCGTAGAAAACGCCGAGTGCTGTAATCTGCCGGCGCACTTCCTGTGCAAGTGCAAGGAAGGCTATACGGGCGATGGCGAGGTGCTGTGCACAGACATTGATGAGTGCAGCAATCCGCAGGCCTGTGGCGCCAACGCCCAATGCCTGAATACGCCCGGCAATCACACGTGCGTCTGCCCCGATGGATTTGTGGGCAATCCCTATGACGGCTGTCAGGATGTTGATGAATGCGCGTACCCGAACGTGTGCGGACCAGGTGCCATATGTACAAATCTCGAGGGCAGTCATCGCTGCGACTGCCCGCCGGGATACGACGGCGATGGACGCACCGAACAGGGCTGTGTCGATCTGGACGAATGCGGACGCTCGCCTTGCGGACGCAACGCCGATTGTCTGAATACAGATGGCAGTTTTCGCTGCCTGTGCCCCGATGGCTTCAGCGGTGATCCCATGCACGGTTGCGAGGGTGAGTACCATAAAATATTCCCCAAATTTTTTCATTCTCATGTTTGACATTTTTCCATCATATTTTTGGTATTTTTGCACTCGTTTTTATTTTGGCGAAATACGTACAAACACACCCATACACATATACATTCCACATGCCACATGCTACATATATGCACCGCAATTTGATTCATTAATACGATTAATGCCTAACAACAACAACAACAAACGCCAGCAGATGTCGATGAATGCGCCATTAACAATCCATGCGGTTTGGGTGCTCAATGCGTGAACTTGGGCGGTAGTTTTCAATGTCGTTGTCCACTTGGCTTTGTGCTTGAGCATGATCCGCACGCCGAGGCGCCAATGCTGGCCACACCCACACTACAACTGGGCTATGGCGATGGCGATACACTGATCACACCGGCACAAACATCGGGTGCTGGTTTGGCCTGCCTGGACATCGATGAGTGCAATCAGCCAGATGGTGTGGCCAAATGCGGCACCAATGCAAAGTGCATAAATTTTCCGGGCTCATATCGCTGTCTCTGTCCAAGCGGATTTCAAGGACAGGGCTACTTGCACTGTGAAAGTTAGTATTTGACTACTTGCATGTTTGTGCTCAAAGTCAGAAAATCCAGTTTTCATCAATTGAAAATTTGATTTTCAACTTGCTAATGGGTGCGTGACACACGAGATACACGAAAAGTCGTAACGAACATTTAAAAACAAAATTTAATTTTTCAATTATTATTTCAATTTTCATAAGTCGCAATTTAGTAAATGATTTCCTCACTAAATTGTGTATTTCGAAATCATTATGCATCAATATACAAACTATTGCAATTCCACAATTAAAAATGAGTTAGTTGTTTGTCCATATAAATTCGTTCGTTACGAGTCATATTCCAGTTTGTTTCGTCTTTAGTCACGCGCCCATCTCCTTGAGACAATTACAGAGCGTGATAGCTTTGCTTAAGCTTGCAAGCTGCAACAACAACTACGCATGTCTTTTGTAAGCTTTGGCAGCGGCGCTCTTTTTCACTCTCTGACTCTGTCACTATTTCCCTGTGCTTCCCTGCTGTACGCTTTCAGCTGCTATTTATTTGCCAGCTTGGAGAGCTTTTAAGCCTAGCTTCTACTCCCGCTTCCTTTGCTATTCAGACAGCTTCCCTCAATATTATCTCTTCCCACTCCACCTACACCCCTTCCCCCACTTTCACGCTATGCTTCCACACCTATCATACTCTTGTACTATTTGAATTGATTACTAATTTAATTAATTACAATATATTTAACCACCTCCCTCCCCTGGAACAAAAAAAAAACCAAAAAACAAAACAAAAACGCTACAAAACACGCCCATGACACCGTGCTGCTCCCTTTTATAAACACCTGCCCCTCACCACCCTCCCTGCACAACGTGATCGCGATCGTGCGCAGATATCAACGAATGTCAGGATAATCCGTGCGGAGAAAATGCCATCTGTACGGATACCGTCGGAAGCTTTATTTGCACGTGCAAATCGGACTACACCGGAGATCCGTTCCGCGGCTGCGTGGACATCGATGAATGCGCCGCACTGGACAAGCCATGTGGACAGCATGCGATCTGCGAGAACGCCGTACCTGGGTACAATTGTAAATGCCCGCAGGGCTATGATGGCAAACCCGATCCGAAGGTGGCCTGCGAACAAGTCGATGTGAACGTTTTGTGTCGCAGCAACTTTGACTGCACGAATAATGCAGAGTGCATAGAGAATCAGTGCTTCTGCTTGGACGGATTTGAGCCCATTGGCTCTAGCTGCGTGGATATTGACGAGTGTCGAACTCATGCGGAGGCTTGCGGTCCCCATGCCCAGTGCATGAACACGCCCGGCTCCTATCGCTGTGATTGCGAAGCCGGCTACGTGGGCAGTCCGCCGCGAATGCCATGCAAACAGCCTTGCGAGGATGTGCACTGTGGTGCACATGCCTACTGCAAGCCGGATCAAAACGAAGCCTACTGCGTCTGTGAGGAGGGTTGGACCTATAATCCCAGTGATGTCGCCGCAGGCTGCATCGATATTGATGAATGCGATGTGTTGCACGGACCCTTCGGCAGCTGTGGCCAGAATGCCAGCTGCACAAATACACCCGGTGCTTTTAGTTGTGCCTGCCCGCCCGGTTTCTCGGGTGATCCGCACAGCAAGTGCTTGGACGTGGATGAGTGTCGTGCCGGTGGTAAATGCGGTGCCGGCGCCGATTGTGTCAATATGCAAGGAGGCGGTTACACATGTCGCTGTCCCGAGGGCACACTGCCCGACCCGGATCCCTCAGTGCGCTGTGTGCCCATCGTTAGTTGCGCCACAAATGAAGAGTGTCCCGGCAATGCCATCTGCGATGAAACGAAGCGCTGCCTGTGCCCGGAACCCAATATTGGCAATGATTGCCGACATCCCTGCGAAACGCGCGACTGTGGTGCCCATGCCCAGTGCATGCTGGCCAATGGAGAGGCACAGTGCCTCTGCGCGCCAGGCTATACGGGCAATGCTGCGCTACCAGGTGGCTGCAGTGACATCGATGAATGCCGCGCCAATCCCTGTTCAGCAAATGCTATTTGCAGCAATACAGCCGGTAGTTATCTGTGCCAATGTCCAGGTGGATCTACTGGTGATGCGTATAAGGATGGCTGTGCCACGGCAAAGACTGTGGGTTGCTCTGATTCTAACCCTTGCGCCTTGGGCGAGAGCTGTGTTCAGGACGCGTTTGCAGGCAGCAGCGTTTGCATTTGCCGCCAGGGATATGAGCGCAATTCGCAGAGTGGCCAATGCCAGGATGTGGATGAGTGTGCGGGTGAACGTGCCAAGCCCGCGTGTGGCCTAAATGCACTCTGCAAGAATCTGCCGGGTAGTTACGAGTGTCGTTGCCCACAAGGACACACCGGCAATCCGTTCGTCTTGTGCGAGATCTGCAGCAGCGCCGAGTGCCAATGCCAGGCCCCATACAAACTTCTGGGCAACAGCTGCGTGCTGGCCGGCTGTTCCAGTGGGCAGCCATGTCCCAGTGGCGCTGAATGCATATCGATCGCGGGCGGTGTTAGCTACTGCGCCTGCCCCAAGGGCTATCAGACCCAGCCGGATGGCAGCTGTGTGGATGTTAACGAATGCGAGGAGCGTGGCTCCCAGTTGTGTGCCTATGGAGCTCAGTGCGTCAATCAGCAGGGCGGCTATAGTTGTCATTGCCCCGAGGGATATCAGGGTGATGCCTACAACGGACTCTGCGCGCCCGCTCAGCGCAAATGCGCTGCGGATAAGGAGTGCTCCAGCAATGAGAAGTGTATACAGCCAGGAGAGTGTGTTTGCCCTCCACCATATTTCTTGGACGCCCAGGACAACAACAAGTGCAAGAGTCCCTGCGAGCGTTTCCCCTGCGGCATCAATGCCAAATGTACGCCCTCGGATCCTCCGCAATGTATGTGCGAGGTGGGCTTCAAGGGAGATCCACTGCTTGGATGCACAGATGAGGATGAGTGTGCCCATCTGCCCTGCGCCTATGGGGCCTATTGTGTGAACAAGAAGGGCGGCTATCAGTGTGTCTGCCCCAAGGGCTTCACAGGTGATCCCTACAAGAGTGGGTGCATACTGGAGAACGGCGTGCCGAAGAGCACCTGCCTGAACAACGAGGATTGCGCCAGCAATTTGGCCTGCCTGGATGGCAGTTGTCTCAGCCCGTGCGCCAGTCTCCTATGTGGCTCGAATGCCTACTGTGAGACGGATCAGCATGCTGGCTGGTGTCGCTGTCGCGTGGGCTTTGTCAAGAACGCCGACGGCGACTGTGTATCGCAGTGCCAGGATGTTATCTGTGGTGACGGTGCCCTTTGCATACCCACCAGTGAGGGACCCACATGCAAGTGCCCGCAAGGCTACTTGGGCAATCCCTTCCCTGGCGGCAGTTGCAGTACAGATCAGTGCACTGCCTCCAGACCCTGTGACGAGCGTCAGATATGCATAAATGGACGCTGCAAGGAGCGCTGCGAGGGCGTTGTATGTGGCATAGGAGCCACATGCGATAAGAACAATGGTAAATGTGTTTGCGAACCAAACTTTATGGGCAATCCGGACCTGCTCTGTATGCCACCCATTGAACAGGCCAAATGCTCGCCTAATTGCGGCGAGAATGCTCACTGTGAGTACGGACTGGGACAGAGTAGATGTGCCTGCAATCCCGGCTCATATGGTAATCCCTACGAGGGCTGTGGGGCCCAGAAGAAGAATGTGTGTCAACCGAACAGCTGTGGACCGAATGCCGAGTGCCTCGCTGTTGACAATCAAATCACCTGCATCTGTCCGCAAGGCTTCAGCGGCAATCCCTATGTGAGCTGCCAGGATGTGGACGAGTGCGCCAATAAACCGTGCGGTTTGAATGCCGCCTGCCTCAACACAGCCGGCAGTTTCGAGTGTCTCTGTTTGTCCGGCCATGCAGGTAATCCCTACAGCAGCTGTCAGCCAATCGAGAGCAAGTTCTGCCAGGACGCCAGCCAGTGTCAGTGCAGTGATCGCGTAGAATGCCCCGATGGCTACAGCTGCCAGAATGGCCAGTGCAAAAATCTATGCTCCAATACAGCGTGTGGACCTCGCGCCATTTGCGATGCGGGTAAATGTCTGTGCCCCCTGGGCTACGTAGGCGATCCCCATGATCTGAGCCAAGGCTGCACCATACGGGGACAGTGCGGCAACGATGCTGACTGTCGCCACACGGAAATCTGCTTCCAACTGGGCAAGGGTCTGCGCAAATGTGTGGATGCCTGCTCCAAGATACAATGCGGCCCCAATGCGCTCTGCGTGGCCGACGATCATCGATCATCGTGCATCTGCGCCGACGGTTACTTTGGTAATCCCAGCAATCTACAAGTTGGGTGCCAACCGGAGCGTAAGGTTATCGATCTGGAAGATAAGTGCAAGACGGACAAGGATTGCGAACGCGGTTTTGGTTGCCAGTCAGATGCACTAGGCACCCGAGAGTGCATAAATCTGTGCTCCAACGTTGTCTGCGGTCCAAATGAACTCTGCAAGATAAATCCTGCTGGACATGCGATTTGCAATTGTGCGGATAGCTTTGTCTGGAATCCAGTTGTGTCGTCGTGCGAAAAGCCCTCGCTACCCGACTGCACCAGCGATGAGAACTGCCCCGATGCCTCCGCCTGCCGCCCCGACGTGCTGGGCGTGCTGAAATGCGTATCCATTTGCGATGCCTTCACCTGTCCAGCGAATTCGATTTGTGTTGCGCGCCATCATCAGGGACGCTGCGATTGCCTCAGTGGATTTGCAGGCAATCCCAATGATCGTAATGGCTGCCAGCCGGAGCGTAAGCATCAGTGCCGTGGCAATGCCGAGTGTCCCGAATCAGAGGCATGCATCAAGGATGAGATAACGCAATCGCTTAGCTGCCGTTCCGCATGCGACACTGTCAAGTGCGGACCACGCGCCGTTTGCATTACGAACAACCATCAGGCACAGTGCCAATGCCCACCAGGACCCTACGCTGGCGATCCCAATGATCCCTTTAATGGCTGCAAGAGCGTGCCCTGTGTCTATAATCATGACTGTCCAACCAATCAAATGTGCAATCGCATGACACACACCTGCTACGACGTGTGCGACGAGGAATCGTGTGGAGAGAATGCCATTTGCCTGGCCGAGGATCATCGCGCCGTCTGTCAATGCCCGCCCGGCTATCGTGGCAATCCCTTGCCTGAAGTCGCCTGCGTGAAACAGAGCGGCTGTGCGGCCGGCAGCTGCCATACTACGGCAATATGTGAGGTGACACCCGAGGGAGCCACTTGCAAGTGTCCGCCACTATTTGTGGGCGAGCCACAGACCAATAGCAGAGGCTGCCGTCCGGATGGTCAGTGCCCCAATGGCGATGCTGACTGTCCGGCGAATACCATCTGCGCTGGTGGCCGCTGCCTAAATCCCTGCGACAATGCCTGTGGCTCGAATGCGGACTGCAAAGTAGTCAATCGCAAACCGGTTTGCAGCTGTCCCCTGCGCTTCCAACCCATCTCCGAGTCGGCCAAGAACGGCTGTGAGCGCAGTGCCTCCAAATGTCTCACGGATGTGGATTGTGGTGGGCAATTATGCTACAATGGTCAATGCCGTGTGGCTTGCCGCAACACACAGGACTGCTCCGATGGTGAGCGCTGCGAGGGAAATGTTTGCGTTGTCACCTGCCTGGACCATAGTCAGTGCGCTAAAGGACTTGCCTGTCTGGAAGGCCACTGCGCCATCGGCTGTCGCAGTAACAAGGAGTGCAAACAGGAGCAGTCGTGCATTGGCAACAATTGCCTTGATCCCTGTCTATCAAGCACAAGTTGCGGTCCCAATGCGCTCTGCAGCATACACCAGCATCGCAGCCAGTGCGCCTGCCCGGATGGATTCGAGGGTAACCCAACGCCCGAGCAGGGTTGCGTGCGCGTACCAACACCCTGTCAGGCCACCAATCAATGCCCCAGCGGTCACATGTGCATTGGCAACCAGTGTAATCTGCCCTGCACAAAGACCTCGGCCTGCGCCGTGGGAGAACGCTGCTATCAACAAGTATGTCGCAAGGTCTGCTACACCAGCAACAACTGTCTAGCTGGGGAAATTTGTAACAGCGATCGAACTTGCCAGCCTGGCTGTGAATCGGACGCGGATTGCCCACCCACCGAGCTGTGCTTGAGCGGTAAATGCAAGTGCGCCAGTGGTTTCATTGGCACCCCCTTCGGTTGCTCGGATATTAATGAGTGTACGGAACAGCCCTGCCATGCCAGTGCCAAGTGCGAGAATGTGCCCGGCTCCTATCGTTGCGTCTGCCCCGAGGGCACCGTTGGAGATGGTTATACGCAACAGGGCTGCGTACAACCCCGACAATGTCATAAGCACGAGGATTGCGCGAATAGCTTGTCCTGCATACACGGCAAGTGCACAGATCCCTGTCTGCATACTGTGTGTGGCGCAAACGCTCATTGCCAGGCGGAGGCGCATCAGTCGATGTGCAGCTGTCCCGCTGGCTATCTAGGTGATCCCAATGACACAGGTGTCGGCTGCTTCAAGGTGGAGTGCATTGATCATGTGGATTGCGCTAGCGATCGTGCATGCGATGCGGAAACCAATCGTTGCATCAAACCCTGTGATCTAACCAGCTGTGGTAAGGGAAGCTGCCAAGTGTTGGATCATAAGGCCATATGCGAATGCAACGAGGGCTACCAGCTAGTCAATGGCGTCTGCGAGGATATCAACGAGTGCCTGACCCAGCCCTGTCACAGCACTGCCTTTTGCGACAATCTTCCCGGCAATTACATTTGTAAGTGTCCCGAGGGGCTCATCGGCGATCCGCTTCAGACGGGCTGTCGCGATCCTAGCGAATGTCTTAGCGATGCTGACTGTCCCGCTACGGCCAGCTGTCAGAATTCACGCTGTCGCAGTCCATGTGAGCACCAGAATGCATGCGGCCTCAATTCCAACTGCGAAGCAAAGTTGCACAGGGCCATTTGCAGCTGTCCGGCCAACTCACGTGGCGATCCGCAGGTGGAGTGCGTGCACATTGAATGCGCCGACAATGGTGACTGTGCCGCTGACAAAGCCTGTCTGGATGCCAAGTGTATAGATCCCTGCTCGCTACCCAATGCTTGTGGAGCGCTGGCTCACTGTTCCGTCCAAAATCACATTGGGCTGTGCGCCTGCGAGTCGGGTAGCACCGGAGATGCCAAGCAAGGCTGTGTGTCGCTGCAGTACTGTCAAAAAGATGCACAGTGCCCTCAGGGCAGCATCTGCGCCCATGGCATCTGTAGTCCACTGTGTAGCAGTAATCGTGATTGCATTTCGGAGCAGCTCTGTCTGCAGGGTGTATGCCAACCCACATGCAAGTCAAACAGCACCTGTCCACAGTTCCAGTTCTGCCAGAACAACATTTGTGCCAAGGAGCTCGAATGCACCATCGACAGCGATTGCGGTGAAGACGAAACCTGCCTAGTTGACGCCTATGGACGTGCCCACTGTGAATCGGTTTGCCTGGGACGCGCCGCTTGTGGCCGCAACGCGGAGTGTGTGGCCCGATCTCATGCTCCCGATTGCGTTTGCAAGGAGGGCTTCTTTGGGGATGCACGCTCCGGCTGTCGCAAGATCGAGTGCAACAGCGATGAGGACTGCTCAAACGATAAGAGCTGCGATAATCATATGTGCAAGATCGCCTGTCTTATTGGCCAGCCGTGTGGAGAGAATGCGCTCTGCACAACGGAGAATCATCGCCAGGTATGTCACTGTCAGCCCGGCTTCAGTGGTGATCCGCGCGTACACTGCGACGTTATCGATTTTTGTAAGGACGCGCCGTGCGGACCCGGCGCACGTTGTCGCAATTCGCGTGGCTCTTACAAATGCACCTGTCCACCCGCTCTCGTCGGTGATCCTTACAATGAGGGCTGCCGCAGCTCCGTCGAATGCGAGACGCACGACGATTGTCCCCCGCATGCTGCATGCACCAAGACTAACGGTGTGCCCAAGTGCCAAGACGTGTGCGCCCATCTACAATGTGGCCCCAATGCGGAATGTGTTCCGAAAGGTCATGTGGCGCACTGTGCATGCCGCAATGGCTACGACGGCCAACCCGCTGACCGGGTGGCCGGCTGCAAGCCATTGCCAGTGCCCTGCCAAATCACTAGCGATTGCCCCACCAACACATACTGCTCAGATAGCGTGTGTAAACGTAAGTACTAACACCAAACACCCACCCAAAGCACCCACCCAGGGCCTAAAACCGACTACCAGACAACTACTAGCCACAAACTTAATTCGCTACTTACTCACTTACCAACTAGCACGAATATTTGATGTGGTTGATAATATTTCCAGACAAGAACTAAATACAGTGCTCGCTCGGAGATTACGTCTTTCTGAAAAAAATATCCAGAAAATATAACTTTATTTTGCATTCATATTTTAAGGATTATTTAATTATTTAGAACAAAGTTAACTTGAGCTTACACAGCTTCAATCTGTATGCTGTGGAGCTGTATAAAAATTATAATTAGATATAAAAAGTTTATAAATAAAAATAGAAAATAATTTACCAATCCTGCGACAATCTCATGAAGCGTTCGAATTATCGAGTAATCAGTATATTAAAATCCAGCTCAGCGAAGTTTGCCTTCTTATTGTGCTTGAGTTGTCAATAAAAAACGCTTGTCTGGGGATGCAACCGAACAGCAACTACAAGAGCTGTTCGCCAATCTCTGGTGTATCTGGCTTTGTGCCCAGTGCTACCCGTAGTATAGACTAACTACAAACTAAACAACAATATATACACGTGACAAAACCAACAACAACAAGAACAAGAAAAGACCGTAAAGCCAACAGAAAGCTAGGCAAAATCCATCTCAACTTGTCTAATCCGTTTTCACCATCCCCCCAAACAGCTGCCTGCTTCCTGGACACTGAGTGTGGTCCATCGGAGGTGTGCCAGGGCGGCCAATGCTTCGATCCCTGCCAGCAGCCGCAGGCATGCGGTCAGAATGCCGAGTGCCAGATGCACAGCCATGTGAAACAGTGCCATTGCCCCGAGGGCTTCACCGGCGATGCGGGTAAGGAGTGTGTGCGTGTGCCGGTCGCCTGCGATGGTGACTGTTCGCCAGGATACACATGTCGCGATTCGATGTGCCTGCCCGTCTGCCACAACGATCTTGAGTGTGCGTCTAACGAGAAGTGCCTGCGTGGCAACTGCATGCGTGAGTAGCTTACCAATCAAACAACAGTACATCGCTTTGATCATAATCATCATCATCCTCATATTTAGTGACCTGTCGCGTGGACAACGATTGCTTCTTGGGCCATGTTTGTCTGCATAATAAGTGCGTGTATGGCTGTCACGTCGATGACGACTGCAGTGCTTCCGAGTCCTGCCGTAACGACAAGTGCATTAATCCCTGTCTTGAGAATCCCTGCGGTCCCAATGCCGCCTGCTCGGTGTCCAATCATCGCGCAAGCTGCAGCTGCCTGGACAACATGGTGCCCAACCCCACACCGCAAGTGGGTTGCGTGCGCACTCCACCACTCGAGTGCCACGAGAATCGCGACTGCAGCAAAGGCCTGGCCTGTTTTGAGTCCGTGTGTCGTCCACTCTGCGCCGATGATGCCGGTTGTTTAACCAACGAGCGCTGCCAGCAGGGCGTCTGTAAGCCGCTCTGTCGCCATGACAACGAGTGTGCCAATGGCGAACTCTGTCTGGGTCTCAACTGCGTCACTGGATGTCGCTCCGATCAAAGTTGCCCCAACCATTTGGCCTGTATTGGCCAGCAATGCGTCGATCCCTGCTCAGAGCCGACAGCATGTGGCACTAATGCCCATTGCCAGGCCATCGACCATCACAAGCAATGTACCTGCCCCGAGGGACTCAGTGGTAATGCCAACGTGCTTTGCAAGGCACCACGCACTGCCTGTGGTCGCAACGAGGACTGTGAATCAAATCAATTGTGCTACGCCGGCAGCTGCCAGGGCAAGTGCCGCAACGATCAGAACTGTCTCTCGGATGAGCGCTGTATGCGCGGCACTTGCCGCACCGTCTGCAACACGGACAGCGCCTGTGCTCAGGGTCAAATTTGTGAAAATCGCGTCTGCCAGACTGGCTGCCGCAACGATCTCAGCTGTGCCAGCGAGGAGGCTTGCGTTAATAAGATGTGCCAGAATCCCTGCCAAACACCAGGTCAGTGCGGCCAATGCGCCGAATGTCTGGTCATCAATCATGGCGTACAATGCCAGTGTCCGGCTACCTTTATTGGTGACGGCCTTACCGGTTGCCAGTTGCCACCCGAGCGTTGCCATCCAGGCTGCGAATGTGACGAAAGCGGAGGCTACTGCGCTGCGAAATGCAGTCGATCCGAAGACTGCGCCTGTGGACAGCAGTGCGCACGTGGCAAGTGCCGCAACAAGTGCGGCGCCAAGCGCCAGTGTACCGTGGGACAGCTATGTGAACGGGGCGCTTGCATCGCAGGCTGCAAATCGAACGGAGACTGTGCTGCCGACCAGAGCTGCGCCAATGGAAAATGCGTTGATCCTTGTGCTGATGATAAGGCCTGTGGACGCAATGCGCTGTGCACAGTGTCGGAGCATCGCATGCTGTGCTACTGCCCCGACGGCTATGAAGGCGAACCCAGCAAGGAGTGCGTGCAGTTCGAGTGCCGTCAGGATAGCGATTGCGAGTCAAGCAAACGCTGCGATCAAGGCAAGTGTCGCAATCCCTGCCTGGAATATGGTGCTTGTGGCACCAATGCTCAATGTCGTGTGGTTAATCGCAAGGCGCAATGCTCGTGCCCGCCAGATTTCTTCGGTAATCCGGCCAGTGAATGCCAGCCTCTGGATGGTGGCTGCTCCAACAATCCATGCGGCGTGAATTCCAAGTGCATTGAGGTGCCCGGCGGCTACGAGTGTGCTTGCATGGATGGCTGCATGGGAGATGCGCATAAGGGTTGCCTTTGCGAAGAACAGTTGGTAAATGCCTGCCATGAGCAACCCTGCGGCCAGAATGCCGCCTGCCGTGTGCTCCGCAACAATCAAGCCGAATGCTACTGCCCCGAGGACTTCCCTAATGGCGATGCCTATGTGCATTGTAAGTCCCCAAAATGATTTCCACCAGTATCAATTTCAAGCATTATAATCTCGGTTGCTTTTAGGCTATGTGACACCACTGCAAGAGGACTGCCGAACGCGAGGCTGTGATGTAGGCGACTGTGTGCGCCAGGGTTACGAATATGTGTGTCAACGGGGTAAGTGGCCCAATACTATTTTATTTGAAGTACCTGAAGGACTTTTAGTAATTAGAGTACAGCTAATGCTAATAATGTTAACCAGCGTTTCTCACAAGTTATCGTTGGTTCATATACTACATACATATACTTTATTTGGAGTAATCAGTTAGAGTTATTATCGTTATCGTTGTCGTTCTTCTTACATATAACTGGAGTTCAGTCAGTAACAAAAAACTGATATTGTTGTTATAATATGTATTTGGTTTGATTATTTAGCTATGAGTTGTTTATAAAAAACATTTAAACCAGCTAATTTCACTAATTCTACAGCTTTTACAGCTGACACAACAAATTAAATTCAAAATTTCAGTGTAGTGTGTGTTTTAATGAAGATACAAAATTAATTAATTAATTTTATATATATACATATATTTAACAACCTATACACATGTTCCAAGTTTTCAAGTGTTAACGTTTTGTAATATCAAATTCCCGCGCACAACAAATTCACACACACACACACACACGCAGACAGCAAAATACACACAACAGCCACACAACTCAAATGCAATATTCGAAAAGTTCCTCTGAAATACCAAACAACAAATCTGTTTAGAACAGTGATTAATGCAATTAATGCATATCAATATGCACTAGGGTAAAATTGAGTGATTGTCATAAATAGTTAGTAAGAAAATTTTCCATATGAAACATTTACATATTTATTACGACATTCTACCAACAACTGCTAAGATCAACGCATATGGAATATCGTGGAATGTTGCTGTCGCTATCGCGGTTACCCAATCTGTGCCTAGTACTCATTTATGAAAACCCATTTTTCGCAAAGTAACTGCAGCAAATATCAGCTTAGTATTTTAAGCATATATTGTTTAACTACACGTACAATACTAAAACAAATATCAAACGACATTCAGTGCATTTGACAACACTCGCTATTTTCGAGAGAGTTGACAACACAGTTTCATTAAGCTTTGAAGCTTGCGTTTATCATTTAATTCATTCAGCATTCATTCAAATTTATAGACATACATACTCTCGTACGATTGGCTTCGAATAACCCATTTTTATTTTGGAGTGTTGCATGTAGCAACACACTCAGCTCTGCGGAATACATTACCTTATGTTTATGAAACCGCTTAACGCACAGATCAGTAGACAAGTTGTTTCATCTTTAATTAATATCGTATAGTTTTAATATCGAATGCCGCGATAGCGATATGTAGCCTATAATCACAGCCGAAAGCAAGCACTGAAAGTGCAGAAAGTGTACAACAAACAACAACACTAAATTCAACGCCTATTATCAAAAAAAAAAAAAAAAAATTATATACAGATCCCAAACACATCCTTGCTGCCCACAAAAAAAAAAAAATAAATAAAAATAATGAAAACAAAATATCATCATCAATATCCATGCTCCCGTTAATCCCATCCTGTGACTCCTATGCTCTATCCGCCCTTAAAACGTACCATTTATAACCCAACGTTGTTATCCACTATTTTGCTCCCCTGCGCCACTCTGTCGTTTCCCTTCGCTAAAACAAAATAAAAATAATAATTGTTAAAATATCTTTTGTTCTTGAATGAACAAAGTCTCAGATTGGGAACTGTGGACGGGACAATTCTCACACATGGTTCACATATGCTTAAAATCAATATTTTTTTTGTCAGTTCAAGTGTACCATAGTACTCAATATAAGTTTCGTTAAATCGTATGTATAGATAAATTACAACAACAACTACTACTACTTTTCAATGCATTTCTTATAGCAAGTCGTTTACTTGCAATAACCGAAAATAATGATGATAATTTTTGTACAAAGCTCCTAAAAAATACTCATACATTTTAAGATCGTATGCTCTGAAAGCTCCTACCGCCTACCTAGCACACTTTAGCTCGTCTATTGGTTGAAAATCGCTTCTGTACAGATGAAAATCTTTGAAAAAAACAAAACAACAATCCAAAATTTATATAAAAACAACTGTAACTAAATTTGACTAACACTGCAAATATATTTTGGTAAATTTGACTAGTCTTTAAGTTGTATATACAGAAATTTGTATATGTGATTAGTCACATATGTACATATATGCGTATACAAATGTGCCGTGTCTTTGCGGCCGCCCAACTAACCCAAAAGAAAAATATAAAACCAACCTGTAAATATTTATATACCAAATTTATCAATTGTGAATTATTAATAACACACCAAAAAAAAAAAGACAAGTAAATCTACTTAACGTACTATCCTAACGTACTCTTCCAAATTGTACTTATCGATTTTCCACTACTTTCCGCTAATATCGCTTTAGTCAAAAGTTTTACCTACTCTGCCTATCAGTTTGATATATATCTTGTCTCTATCTCGCTGATTTCATCTGTCTCTGTCTCTCACTCTTTACAACTTATATTATGCCTTATTCACTCACCCAATCATCACCAATAACGTGTCTCTCGTGAGGGCAGAGCGCATGTGTTGGATGTCGTGTAATTTTCACCATTACTCAACAAGTATATACAAACAATTCGCATTAGACCAACAAGAACATTGCTAAAAAAAAAAAACATGTCCATTGATCAAAATGCAATTAATTGGGCAAATCAAGCGCAAGTCTCTCTATCTCTACACCCGTATACACACACTCGTTATTTAATAATTGGAAATTCATCAATGATTGTAACTATTGCTCACTCGAACTTACTTATCTATAAGGCTGCTCGCTCGCTCGCCCGCTGCTCGAAGACTTATCAAATTCATTTAAATCAACCAACAAAAGCAATTAATCTACATACCAAACCTCAGCAGCTATCTACTATATAATTATATACATATATACATAATTGACAATTTTGCAAGCTTATATAGAAAACAACCTGAAATAATGTGAGACGTTCCCTTCACAGTTCTGCAATTTGATTTTGACATTGACAACAAATTTGAAAAGTGTTTACTAAAAACTGTTGCTGCCTGTCCCTATTGATCATTAACTGCACCAAACTGAACTAAACTTGTTATTTCTAAATTTTTATTTCCTATTTCTATATTATATCATATGCCCCTTTCTGATCACAATTCGATGAAGCCCCAATAAATGTTCTATGACTTTAACAAATCCCTTGCACAATACCCAAAATCCAAAATCAAAACCACAGCAATCCCACTGACATTTATTAAAAAATAAAAAAAAAAAATAATAAAAAATAAATATACACACCCCAACCACATACACAAGAACTCAAACAAAACCAAATCAAACCATACCAAAGAATACCAATCGAAAGAACCAACCAACACTTGATTATACTGTTTATATATTGTCTTGTTTAAGTTTTTCTATTTTTGTTTTTAGAAAATTTAGCTTTAAGTTTCTTATCTGAGCTCCCCATATTTACATCCCATCTATTCTAAGTACTTCAAGTACCACCAACAAAAAAAATAATTCCCGTCCACTTCAACCAAAACTTTCTCTCTTGTCTGTCAAATTCCCAAGAAATTTCTTAATGATTTCAACTTCGCACTCCCGTTCTTTCTTAAATGTGTTCCAATGCTCCGTATTTTCAATTTTCAACAACTAGAAAAAAGAGTACATTTTATGGGGTATCTATCTATCGTATATGCCACCGAATAGTTGAGCGCACCCAACGATTAACATAGTACAACAACCAACAACCTGTCTATCTCTCTCTCTCTCTCTCGCTCTTCGCTGCTGCTGTTACGTAACGTTATAGACACCGAACAATGCTACTCAGATACGGATTGTCCCAGTGAAAAATCATGCCTACAAGGACACTGCACCGATCCTTGTACAATGCGTGGCGCGTGTGGCACAAATGCACTATGTCAGACTGTGCTGCATCGTCCACGCTGCTCTTGTCCCAACTGTCACATAGGTCGACCCGAGGTCGAGTGCAAGCCGGATCCAAAATGTGTGCCAGACGACACAGACCCCAAGACAAAGGATCAAATAACATGCACCAGCGATGCCGAATGTCCAGAGACCTTGCAGTGCGGCCAATATGGCCAATGCACAGATCCTTGCAACAATCCACTGTTCATCTGCGAAAGTAACAAAAAGTGCGAGACCCGTCGCCACCAGCCCGTTTGCATATGCAAATCAGGCTTCATAGTCAATGAGTATGGTGAATTGACCTGTGCACCGGATAAGCGTGAATGCTATCGCGATGATGACTGTGCCTCGAATATGGCCTGCACGGATGGCAAGTGTCGCAACCCGTGCATTGTACCACTGGGCCGTGCACCAATTTGCGCAGAGAATAAGTCCTGTGAAGTACAGGATCATAAGCCAGTATGCATTTGCATGCGAGATTGCCAGCCATCGATATCGATTTGCTTGCGCGATGCTGGCTGTCCGGCAGGCTTAGCCTGCCGCAATTATCAGTGCGTCGATCCGTGCAAGTTTGCCACGTGCGCACCCAACTCGCCATGCATTGTAGAGGATCACAAGCCGATATGTAAATTCTGCCCAACTGGATTTATAGCCGATGCCATATGGATGTCAAAAAGGTAAAGCACAAACGTACTCTCTCTCACAACACTGTCAAGTGAAAGTACCTTATGTCTCTGTCTCGTTTATCGTTTATCTCTGTTTTCTGCCTCTCACACGCTCTCACCTTTTGCTAGATCTGTCTTATTGTCTGTTCCCTCACCAACAATCACACACACAATTGATTTCCTAGCGAGATATATTGACCAAAGACACTTCCCAGAATTTCATGCCGTGTCAATATATTTCCTCACATATTGTGTAAATGTATATAGAAATGAGGAATTAACAATCTATTCTTGAATAAAGCTTTCTCCTGACAGCATATGGTCTAAAAAAAATCTCTTAACGATAATCAATATTGAAAGCTAATCCACGAACCCAATTATCGAATCAGGATTGTTCGTAATGCCCGTCCAGCTTCAAACCAAAGCTAAAACCAAAGCGCAATAACAAAATAAGAAAAACTGTTATCAAAATTATTGATGATCATACATGATCATAACTCTCTGATGAGAGTCGAATCAACAATAACAGAATCAAATACTCGTATACAAATACAAAGCAACTTTTCTGAACATTCACACACGCTCATGCTCACAATGATATTAATGCCTCTTGAAAACTATAAATATCTTAACCCATGACTCTAAATAAACGGTAACTAGTGTAATACTAATTGTATAAAACAACAACATAAATCCAATATGTAGCTAACTAATAGTAAAAAAAAATCGTTCCTAATTTGAATTTTTCTAACCGTAAAATAATTTATACTAAATTTTTGTGCTGAAAGTTTTTGCCACAGTTTCAAGAAATTTAGCTCACAACTTCGAACATATTCAGTAATGCCCCAGGTTTCCCTGTATATATAGTGCACATTCCTCTTTTGTTGTAGCTATACACCTACTTATATAATATCGTATTAATTTGTAAATATTTTAACGATTTGTATTTTTTAAATTTTATACTTTTATTTGAAATATGTACAAAAATACTCCACTTCAAAAATTACAAAACAAAAAATAATAAAATAGCAGCTAAGCCAGGTGGCAACTGTACCACACACGAAGATTGCAGTGATGCGCATCAGTGCGGTTCGTCTGGTCAATGTATCGATCCCTGCCACACAGTTTGTGTGGCCTCAGTAAAGTGCGTAACGAAAGCACATGTTATTGCAACATGCATTTGCTCTACGAGCTCGACAAACAACACGAACTCTAACTGTAAACCGACAGACGTACCACATAGTACCGAATCCGAACTAAACGAGACAACAACCGTTGCAACAGGCATCAAGTACACGGTCATGATTTTGGCAAACCAAACAGAAATGCGTACACGTTATACCGACATTGAAGCTGAGAGTGAAACGACCAGCTCATACGATAGCACAACAGAGTCATACAAAACCACAAAACAGCTAAACATTGAAACAACCTTATCTCCAAAACACATTTTGCAAAAAAGTACAACAGCGCAATACACAACCTCTGAGCCACAAACTGATTCGACCCCCTTAAGGGTTTCTTCTTTTACAACCCAAAGAACTCATACAAAATCTACAGCCTCCGATGAAACTACTGTCCATTTTGCAACTCAAGATTCAACTTTGACGCCTATACCTGGCGAGTCAACCACGCCAACGTCTGCAACAACCCACAGAATTTATACAGAATCTACTGAACCCACTATCTCTGATGAAACTACTGTTCGAATTGACACATCGCAACCAACAACCCATCAAACCCCTAAAACCATTCAAACTGAGAGTATACTTCCAATAGGGTCCACTTCGGTACCACTATATACAGACACTACACCTCCATCGACAGTTACTGAACAAACAACTCTTGGTGGAATACCTTCCATTACAACTGAGACAAAAGTACCCTCTGTTACTCAAGTGACTTCTGTCCCTGGCAGCACAACTACCTCATTCCCATCTAAAGAGCAGTTTACAACTCAAGGCTCAACTTTGATGCCTACACCTGGCGAGTCAACTACGCCAACGTCTGCAACAACCCACAGAATTTATACAGAATCTACTGAACCCACTATCTCTGATGAAACTACTGTTCGAATTGGCACATCGCAACCAACAACCCATCAAACACCTAAAACCATTCCAACTGAGAGTATGCTTCCACTAGGGTCCACTTCGGTACCACCATATACAGACACTACACCTCCATCGACAGTTACTGAACAAACAACTCTTGGTGGAATGACTTCCATTACATCTGAGGCGAAAATACCGTCTGTTACTCAAGTGACTTCTGTCCCTGGGAGCACAACTACCTCATTCCCATCTAAAGAGCAGTTTACAACTGAAGGTTCAACTTTGACGCCTATACCTGGCGAGTCAACTACGCCAACTTCTGCAACAACCCACAGAATTTATACAGAATCTACTGAACCCACTATCTCTGATGAAACTACTGTTCGAATTGGCACATCGCAACCAACAACCCATCAAACCCCTCAAACCATTCCAACTGAGAGTATGCTTCCACTAGGGTCCACTTCGGTACCACCATATACAGACACTACACCTCCATCGACAGTTACTGAACAAACAACTCTTGGTGGAATGCCTTCCATTACAACTGAGGCAAAAATACCCTCTGTTACTCAAGTGACTTCTGTCCCTGGGAGCACAACTACCTCATTCCCATCTAAAGAGCAGTTTACAACTGAAGGTTCAACTTTGACGCCTATACCTGGCGAGTCAACTACGCCAACTTCTGCAACAACCCACAGAATTTATACAGAATCTACTGAACCCACTATCTCTAATGAAACTACTGTTCGAATTGGCACATCGCAACCAACAACCCATCAAACCCCTAAAACCATTCCAACTGAGAGCATACTTCCACTAGGGTCCACTTCGGTACCACCAGATACAGACACTACACCTCCATCGACAGTTACTGAACAAACAACACTTGGTGGAATACCTTCCATTACAACTGAGACAAAAGTACCCTCTGTTACTCAAGTGACTTCTGTCCCTGGGAGCACAACTACCTCATTCCCATCTAAAGAGCAGTTTACAACTCAAGGTTCAACTTTGACGCCTATACCTGGCGAGTCAACTACGCCAACGTCTGCAACAACCCACAGAATTTATACAGAATCTACTGAACCCACTATCTCTGATGAAACTACTGTTCGAATTGGCACATCGCAACCAACAACCCATCAAACCCCTAAAACCATTCCAACTGAGAGAATACTTCCAATAGGGTCCACTTCGGTACCACTATATACAGACACTACACCTCCATCGACAGTTACTGAACAAACAACTCTTGGTGGAATGCCTTCCATTACAACTGAGACAAAAATACCCTCTGTTACTCAAGTGACTTCTGTCCCTGGGAGCACAACTACCTCATTCCCATCTAAAGAGCAGTTTACAACTCAAGGTTCAACTTTGACGCCTATACCTGGCGAGTCAACCACGCCAACGTCTGCAACAACCCACAGAATTTATACAGAATCTACTGAACCCACTATCTCTGATAAAACTACTGTTCGAATTGGCACATCGCAACCAACAACCCATCACACCCCTAAAACCATTCCAACTGAGAGTATTCTTCCACTAGGGTCCACTTCGGTACCACTATATACAGACACTACACCTCCATCGACAGTTACTGAACAAACAACTCTTGGTGGAATGCCTTCCATTACAACTGAGACAAAAATACCCTCTGTTACTCAAGTGACTTCTGTCCCTGGGAGCACAACTACCTCATTCCCATCTAAAGAGCAGTTTACAACTGAAGGTTCAGCTTTGACGCCTATACCTGGCGAGTCAACCACGCCAACGTCTGCAACAACCCACAGAATTTATACAGAAACTACTGAACCCACTATCTCTGATGAAACTACTGTTCGAATTGGCACATCGCAACCAACAACCCATAAAATCCCTAAAACCATTCCAACTGAGAGGATACTTCCAATAGGGCCCACTTCGGTACCACTATATACAGACACTACACCTCCGTCGACAGTTACTGAACAAACAACTCTTGGTGGAATGCCTTCCATTACAACTGAGACAAAAATACCCTCTGTTACTCAAGTGACTTCTGTCCCTGGGAGCACAACTACCTCATTCCCATCTAAAGAGCAGTTTACAACTCAAGGTTCAACTTTGACGCCTATACCTGGCGAGTCAACTACGCCAACTTCTGCAACAACCCACAGAATTTATACAGAAACTACTGAACCCACTATCTCTGATGAAACTACTGTTCGAATTGGCACATCGCAACCAACAACCCATCAAACCCCTAAAACCATTCCAACTGAGAGAATACTTCCAATAGGGTCCACTTCGGTACCACTATATACAGACACTACACCTCCATCGACAGTTACTGAACAAACAACTCTTGGTGGAATGCCTTCCATTACAACTGAGACAAAAATACCCTCTGTTACTCAAGTGACTTCTGTCCCTGGGAGCACAACTACCTCATTCCCATCTAAAGAGCAGTTTACAACTCAAGGTTCAACTTTGACGCCTATACCTGGCGAGTCAACCACGCCAACGTCTGCAACAACCCACAGAATTTATACAGAATCTACTGAACCCACTATCTCTGATAAAACTACTGTTCGAATTGGCACATCGCAACCAACAACCCATCACACCCCTAAAACCATTCCAACTGAGAGTATTCTTCCACTAGGGTCCACTTCGGTATCACCATATACAGACACTACACCTCCATCGACAGTTACTGAACAAACAACTCTTGGTGGAATGACTTCCATTACAACTGAGACAAAAATACCCTCTGTTACTCAAGTGACTTCTGTCCCTGGGAGCACAACTACCTCATTCCCATCTAAAGAGCAGTTTACAACTGAAGGTTCAACTTTGACGCCTATACCTGGCGAGTCAACTACGCCAACTTCTGCAACAACCCACAGAATTTATACAGAATCTACTGAACCTACTATCTCTGATGAAACTACTGTTCGAATTGACACA